GTAGCCCATAATCCTTTCAACTTCACTAACATGAAGCAGACGAAACTCTCCTTGCTTCATGCACTTAACTACTGGCATGCTGGCTTTATTCCCAGGGCGACAATTTGTTGTCATAACACAATTGGTTTTCTCATTTCATGCCTTAGCGTTGTTGATAACAAATTGTAGGCGAGTTTTCGGATGCGACTCGATGTCAGGCATTTGCTCCGGAAGGGGGATGTTCGTCCATTACAACCGCCGTCTTTGCTGTGGTGATATTCACTTCGAATCAGCGAGCACAGGCACAACTCCCCCTAAGTGCTTCGTAATCTCAAATCTATCTTCCCATTTCATTGAGAAAACATTTTTGGATTCGTCTCATTCATTAATCTTAGAGTCATCAAAAAAATAATCTACTTTTCGGCCCGTGCAATCCATGTTTTCCCTTTACCGTTCCCCGACGTTCAGGTTTTGCCAAATCCACATGCATCTCCCCCGGGTCCTTTCGCCCGACTTTCCTCAGGTCCTGCCAATTTTGCATTCATATCACTCTTTGTCCTTTCTTGTTCCTTGCTTATTTTTAACTTTTTCATGCATGCTGCCCAGTTCATCCCTTGTGCATCCCTTTTTCCAGACACCTTGTCAGACCTTTTTCTCAAACTCATGCAAACCAAATACTCATCTGTTTTCCAGTCTACCAGTCTTTCTCTCAGATCCATCATACGAGTCTTTTCTTTTCCAGACGTCTTGCTCGGCCCATTTTTAAGCTCATGCCAAATCAATCACACAAGTCGCTTGCCAGGTTTTTTCTCAAGCTCATGCAACGTCAATTTCTCACGCGTTTCTCTTCTGGACATCTTGCCAGGCCTTTTCTCAAGCCTGCGCAAAGTCAATTACTCATCCAATCTTCTCTTCTGGACATCTTGCCAGGCCTTTTCTCAAGTTCATGCAACGTTAANTTTCTCAAGTTCATGCAACGTTAATTATTCATTCGTTTCTCTTCTGGACATCTTGCGAGGCCTTTTCTCAAGCCTGCGCAAAGTCAATTACTCATTCATCCTTATGCTGATGGTATCCTTCTTTTTTGCACGTTTTTTCTTCGGTAGATGGCACACCTTCCCCCCACTCAAAACGCGATGTCCCCATCGCGCGACTGGTTCTCACTCGGAGGTACGCAAACCTTTGGTCCACCAACCGCAGTCAAGGACACAAGCCCGTCGGCTTTACAAAAGGAAGAGTGATCAGTTCCTCCCCAGCGAACGACGTTTTATCCTCCTACTCGGTCCGACCTTTCTTTTCTTACGTGGTGAGCACCAATATTGAGGTTCCTCCTCACTTCTGGCAGGCGGGTCCAATCCAAGCCTTTCAGGGCCTCGTTTAGCCGTACGAGCGTTCCTCGCGAATCGTTCCTCCCGAGTGGTAATTTTCTGGATCCGGCCTCTTCCTTTCAAGAGAGTTGTGGCTCTCAATTAGTCCGCGGGTGCAGTTACGAAGACCTTGCAATTAGTCCCGAAGCGGTTGTAATGCTCCGGCGAGGCGGTGTCAATGCCCCGTGGTGGTTGTGGCTTCCACCCGGTACCACGCCCGATTCCTCCCTCTGGACAGTGCTGCTCAACTTAACGCGAGCCGCCGTGGTCCATTCCAAGCGGCCATGCCGCCCCTCAACGGCAGAAAAAGAATGGCTCTCTCGCCCATTTGGTTCTCTCACCCTTAGACGTTTAGGCGTTCAACACGAGGCGCAACTTGAACTTCCCGACTAGAGTTCGTTGTCGGGTCAGTTCCGGACGTCTCGCACCGATCCAAGTGGTAGGTGCCTTGGTCCTTTAACCCTCATCCCCTTACAAGAGGAAGAGGTCGCGCTGAGACTTTTTTCCCTTACAGGGATAGAGGTCTTGGGGTCGCGGTGCGAGCACCGATATCCCCCTCCTGGAGAGGCCAAAGACTAGAAAAAGAGAAAATTCATTTCAAGGCTATTTCCAAGTCCATTTCAAGTTACCTAGGGTCCCCTGACTATGCAATGCAATATTCAATCCTCAATCATTCAATCCAATGCTATTGTCAAGGCTGATTCTCATGGTTGGTCCGACACCCTTTCATCAACAAGGCCACTGACATGGCCGGTCTGGCGGTCATTCTCTCAATAGCCATTTCTTAAGACTGACCCTTCCGCCCATTCAATCCTCAATTCTCTCATTCCTCAACACCCAATCTCTGTGACCGTCCCAACGGTCCCTGCCCCTCTTGTCTTTAAGGTTCCACCTCTTTTATTATGTCCTTCTCATTCATATCTTTCTTCCGCCCCCTTGGCAATTTCAGCGGCCGACCCACCGACCTTTTCCATTTCTTCCATTCATCTCATTGGCTATTTCAATGACCGACCCACCGATCTTTTTTATTTCTTTCATTCATCCTTTGGCTATTTCAATGACCGACCCACCGGTCTTTTCCACCTCTCTCATCCATTCGTTGGCTATTTCAATGACCGACCCACCGGCCTTTCCCATCTCTTATTGCTCTTTCCAGCACAATCTCAATCAACCTTTCTCAATCAAATATGCAGGGGACCCCAGTGCCTATTTCAAAAGGAATGACCCTTGTCAGGGGTCATTCCCGAACAACCTGGTTAGGGTCGTTCTTATCCATTCATAAGTCGAACAGCCTGGTTAGGGCCATTCTTTTCCATTCTCAAGTCAAACAGCCTGGTTAGGGCCATTCTCTTCCACTCAAGTCGAACAGCCTGGTTAGGGCCATTCCTTTCCATTCTCAATGTTAGTGCCCGAGGGGGTGGGCCTCGAGATTACGGATCCTATTGCTGTCTTGGAGGTTAGAAGGTGACCATCTTATCTCAGTTTTGTTTTGGGTGTTGTTCCCTTCTTTTCCTTCTCTCACAGTAATGTACTATCCATTCCATTTCTCACAGTAATGTACCATCCATGCGTACATCCGACTTAGCGTCTAGTACTCGAGTTGGGGCTCGCGACCCCAAGCAGCACTAGCCCACCCGGCCCTTCATCCATAACAAAAGACAAAGGCGCCCCTTCCATTCTCACTCTTCCTGATCACTCAGGTTTCGGCTATTCTCAGTCTCATTCATGACTCAGTTGGATTAGGCTCCTAGGGAAGGAGTGTTCTTCACGCCCCTTAACCCATAGGTTGCCTAGCCTCTCATGTACTCGACCAATCATTCAATGCCATGGTTCGCTCGACAATCCATACTCAAGGTTTTCCCCTCTCAAAAAGCATAATCCTTGTTCCATCCAGAATTCATAATACACCCTTTCCCAATTGGTCTCATCCCAAATCCCATGCCTTTGTCTTGTGTACCCACTTTCGAAGGTAGCTCATCCAAAAGTAGCCCCAATATGCTACCTTCTAATCTTATCACGACACAGTCTTAGCTGGCCCTTCCATCACTCATCCTTTGCAAGCTTATTCATACTATACACATTCTACTCCAATGTTTTGCAATTGAGAAATAAAACCAGGGTTCTTGCCCAACACTCAATCAACATCTAATGCCTATTGCTGTCTTGTGCCTCAACTTGCCCATTTCCTGGTCCACCCGGTTCCTCGGCAGACTTCCTAAACCCCAGGCCGTAGGTCTCGATTTCTCTTTTCATCCTTACAATTTTTCGCAACTCTGCCTCGTTAAAAAAATGTTGTGGTGTGGCTTCCACCCCTGCCCTTGCGAGTTCCCGAGTCTTGATAATCCGTTCGTGCCTTATCACATTGGTCCATTACTGAAACCAATGACTGGGCGTTGGCCCAAACTCGTCCTCCCATCTGAAAGCCCCGTTGCACGGCTGGTGCATCGGAGGCCGCCCCTCTTCCCAGGGCCTCGAGATCTCATCCCTCTCATCCCCGCTGCTGATTTTTATGACTTCTCGCACATCCTCCTCCTCGTCCTTCTCGTCTTCTGTCTGTATGGGGCTATATCCACCTGCAAGGTTCTTCGGATCGTAGGTAAAACGAATCTCTGTCCCCGTCCCATACCTCTCGCAACTGTCGTAGCTGCTTCGTCCTTCAAGCGGGATCTCCCTTCTTTCCTCACCCTCCGCATATTCGTCGCGCATGTCTTGTCCCCCCTCACTTTCTACATGCTAAGTCTCACGTCGCTTGCCCCTGTTGACTCCTTCCTCGTCAGAGACTTGAACCTTGTTTCCCATCTCTGTATTGCCTCCGTCTCCCGCTTTTGCCTTTTCCTTCCCTCCCTCACTGTCAGACGAGATCTCTATACCTTCTCCCTCGCGGAGGGGTGAGGGTTTCCTACACAAGCATTTCCTTCCTCCCCTGCCTACCACTGGGCCACCCACGAGTCCTATATACAACTTTCTTTTTGCCGCTCTCCTTCCTTGGCTTGGTCCTGCTTCCTCCCCTCCGGAAGGCTTGTTGATTGCCCCGCTGTCATTTTCGTCACCGAACTCCATCCTCTCTTTTCTTTTAGACTTTGTATGACAAAACAACACCTGCAAAGCCCCCCATGCACCCATTCCCCCAGTCTGGTAGGCAGTCCCTCCCTTTTTCCCAGAATGCTTCCAACATCCTTCGCAGCATGCCCCTATTATACATGCGAATGCGTCGTTTGTGATGACCCCATTTTTTTTCCGTAAAAAACTATGGTACAATGCCCCAGACATCCCTCCCCGTTGTCACACAAGCCAGATATTGCAAACCCCCAAGTCACGCTGCCTTTCAACCTCAGTAAGTCCAAGCCAAAGCGCCAGTCCCCAAAAAAAATGACAGTCCCACGAACATGGTCAGAGACAAACCATAGTGTAGCAAGACTGTGGTCAGTCTTTAGCTTGTGGCTCCTCAGTTTCCTTATCTTCGGCCTCCTGAAGCCATTGTTCCACTGGGTCCCGACTTAGAAACCTGACCAATCGTTGCCCCGGGAAGGGCCCTTTCAATCCAGTTCCATCCAAATCTTCATGTTCGAAGGTGTTCAGTCCCACCCGCTTGGTGACCAGGTAGGGGCCTTTGAACCTCCTTCCCAGCTGTCCCGACCAAGTACTTTCTAGTGCCGAGTTCCTTAGCAATACCATCTCCCCCACCTGAAGTGGCTCCTTTCTGGCATTCTTAACCCGGTTTCACCTTGCTTTGTCCCTCATTCTGTTGTCCAGCACCCGGTTGGCGATGTCTTCCATGACCTCCTCATTCTTAAGGATTTGTTGACATCTTGCCTCGATTAACTCTTCAGTGGTCATTTGCGGATTATCATCTAACCTATTCCAGGTAGGTACCAAGGCTTCCACAGGAAAGTCGATCTCTCTTCCGTACCAAAGCTCTGTCGGGATACATCCTGTTGTCCTTTTAGGGGTCATATTCTCTGCAAAGACAGCCTGCTTAAGATACCTAGGCCAGTTCCCCAGATGGTCCGCTGCGAGCTTTGCAATCGTGTTTTTCAATGTTCGGTGCCCCCTTTCCACAGGTGCGTTGGCCTCAGGGTGATATGGCTCGATGAGTTTGATCGGTACGCAGAGTCTCTTAAGCATCCCCAATACTTCTTGGTTCACAAACTCCGTCTCATTGTCTGCTATAAACCTTCTGACGAACGGATGCCTCAAGTAGAAGTCTTCTATGCAGTCCGCCACACTTCTCCCTGTCTTTTTCTTGAGGGCGACTGCCTCCACGAACCCGCTCAGGTTGTCTCACTCATCCAGGATATACCTGTACCCATCCGTTGATACAGGCATGACCGCAAGGTCGAGGTGGACTAGATGCCCCGGCCCTAGCACCCGCGTTGGTCTAAGCGGCTCGAAGACCCGTACCGAGCTTCGCTCTTGGCAAATAAGGCAAGTCTGGCAGTATATGGCGACCATGCCTGTCATGCCTGGCCAATAATAGAGTGGCGTTATCTTTGCAAGTGTTCCTTTGGACGACCGATGACCTCCAACTAACCCATCGTGCATTGCCTAGATAACGTATACTTGCCTAGGTCTTCCGCACACAACCCTTCTGGGCATAGCACCTTCCTTCCTTCGGAACAAATGCCTGCCCCTTAGGACACACCTTTCAGCTTCTTCTCTTGCCTTAATACTGACTTCCGTAGGTTGTTTGTTTCCTACCAACAACAACCCGATCTCCCGAAAGAGCCCTTCGTATGATTGGACATAGAGAAACTCCTCCCCTTCCTGGCCCCCATCCTTTCCTTCCTGCATCTGGTTTACCACCCATTGCAACTCTTTCCTTTCCCAAGATTCCACTAAGCTCATCACTGCTTCCCGACCTCCCTCGACCGCCATTGCCATTAGTTCCTCTTTCGGTCCTACTATCGCTCCCCATGAGTCATTTTCTTCTCTGCGTCCTCGAGTGGTAACTGGTCCTTCTCTAAGTTCTGCTACTACGGCAGGTGCCCCCTTCTCCAAAGTCTGGATCAATAGTTCTCCCGATGTGCATCCCCCGCTCATCACTTCATTATCCACCGCGAGAGTCCCTCCTTCGTATTCGAGGAATGCGTCTATGGGCTCTGCATCCTCCATCCCTTCGGGAGTGATGCAAACCCGACTCAGCCCATCTGCCTTGTTGCGGATTCCAGCAATCCGTTCGATCTTGTAATCGAACTGCCAGATGAATCCTACCCATCTCCCTACCGTCGGATCTATAGGCCTGTAATTCTTTAGAGCCACTGCAACATTCGTCGGATCGATCCTTAAGATGAACCGCCTCCCAAATAGGTAGGCCTGAAAGGTCTTAAGGCAATGCAGGATGGCTAGGACTTCCTTCTTGAATTGCGAGTACCGCCGTTCTGCGGAGTTCAGGGTTCTACTTTCGAACCTAATCGGCCTCTCTTTTCCTCCCTCATCCCTTTGAATCAACACACCTCCTACGGCCAAAGGTCCTCCATCCATCTCTAGGATGAAGGGTCATCCCACTTCGTCATTAAAACAAGACGCGGACAGGGCGACTGTCTTAGATGTCAATATGTCCTTGAGCCTTTGGACAGCTCCTTCTCGCTCCTCCGTCCAATCCATGGTTCCTTCTTCCCTGATCATAACCCGGATAGGCTCAACAATTTTGGCAAAGTTCTTAATGAAGATCCTCCAAAAGTCGACTACGCCTAGGAATGCCCTTACCTCCGTCGTCGTGCGCAGTGGTGTCGGCCACTGTGATATCTTGTCGGTCTTTGCCGGATCCGGCTTCCTGTCGTAAGCACCACAACGAAATCCTAATATAGTTACCTCCGGAACTGCTAGGATACTCTTTGGTCCACTAGCCGTAATGTTGTATACTAGGAACCGGCGGAGTAAGTCCTTGATGTCCTGCAGGTGGTCCCACATAAAACGTCGGATCCCTGGCTGGATTTCCGTCTCGTCCTTCTCCTGCGCGCCTTTGATCGGATTGTCATCGATGTAAGGCTCACATTTTTCTGGGAACATGTCCCCGGCCACGGCGAGCATCCTGCGTTGCGCTTCGGCCACCACGTTTGTGAATCCCATAGGGGTCACTTGCATCTGTAGTTGGCCTACGGGGGTGTGCATAGCGGTGTATGGCCTGTCCCGGACATCCAACGGAAGCTGGTCGTACCCTGAGTACAGATCTATCAGGGAGTAAATGCTCCGACCGGCGTGCGATTCTGCTAATAAGTCAGCCTGAGGTAGCGAGCCAGCATCCCGGATGGTTACCGCATTCAACTTCTGAGGTTCTGAATCCACCTTAGTATCTTGTTAGGCTTCCGAAAGACGAACCACCGATTTGTGTATGGCGATGTCGTGGGCTCCGCAACGAAGGAGTCCATCTTTGCTCGGAGGAGGTCTGTTATTTCTCCTGCTATCCCAAATTCATAGGATGGCCCCTTGTCATTCCAGCACTCATGTTCTACCGTGTGGATTCTGACCGGAGGGATCAACTTCGCATCCAGTCGTCCCTTCTGGTGATCACTAAAGGCAAATGGCAGGTGAAACTCCTGGCAGGTCCTTTTGATTAGGCGGGTTTCTTATTCCGTTAAGAACCCGTCTATCCCTATCTTCATTGTGTTAGCTACCTCATCTGGTATCCGATGTCCCTCCGTCGCCCTTCTTTCTCGGATCACTCGAAGGACCTCGTCCTCCTTCTCCATAGCCTTTTCCTTTGATGTCTCTAGCAGGATCGAGACCGGTTTTGCTTTCTTCCCTACCGGCTTGTACTTTCGAACACTTCCTTCCGGGATCTTTTTCCTAAAAAATGAACAGTCGAAATTGCCCCCGCCGCCTCTACGACTCGTGGTTGAATACTAACTAGTTTCCCATTCAGGCAATATCCCTTTTGCACCTCTCGTTCCAACTTGGCTAAGGCTGCCAAATCCACTCCTACCTTGTGGTATCTGAGGGCCTTGATGAGTTGCAATAGATCGGGGATCTCGAGTGCGATTTCTGGCACGTCTATGCGTACTTCTTTCCGTTTGGGCAGGCTAGCACCAAGTTCGACCTCTAACTCCTTTTCTGCTACCATAACACCTAGGACTTCGTCCTCCTGTCTCCTCTTTTTCTAGGGCAGGCCCATCTTGATCCACTCCTTCTTGTTGAATGCTTCCTCAATCATGATTTCTACCCTTTCTCTCAAACCCTCCATTCGTGCGAAAGCCCTTTTTAACGTGCTATCCTCGAACGACGGCGACCATGTTGCCAATTTTCCCTTCGCGGGGTCTCCTCCCGTTCCAAGGAGTCGCAGGAGCTCTCCCCGGCCGGTCACAGGGTCTTCTTTGTCTACCATGTACGAGCCATCGTGCAAGTGCATGCCTATCATCTCTACTTTCGCGCACCACGGTCTCCCGAGGATTATGTCGTGATCCATTTCCTCCATTACGGTCATTCGCTGAAACGACCAGATCGATTCCCTGACCCCTGCCTTCACAGCACACTTCGTGACAGCGAACGGGATTTCCCCGCCAGCTCCCCGGATGCTCCCCGTTACTTCCTTGTTTACCGTACATCCCGTGATCTTTAATGCGTCGGTATGATGACTCCCGATCTGGATTTTTAGTTTCCCTACGGGCAGTGCATGAAAGCTAAGCTTTGTCCCGGGTGGTGATCTCATGACTTCGCCACCCTCCCGGTCGGGCAAGCTCAAACGAATGTCCGCAAAGGCTTTTTCGATATCCTTCAAGTCCCCGTGACTCCTCTGAAGGTTAGCCACTTCTTGCGAAGCTTCCTCCTCCCTCTCCCCTTCTGGTAATTCGGGGTTGTCGCCTATTTCTACTCGCCTCCGAGTCAACAGTTGTCTGAGCCCTTTGAGCAACCTAGGGCTAGCCTGCAGCATGGTCTGAAAAGACACCGACACCATGGTTCCTAGTAACTTGCTAATGGTGTCATCGAACTCAGGCAAGGTTAAGATCGGGATTTGATACCTAAACTTCTTCTTAGCGGCGGTAACCTTGTCCGCAGGCTCCTCTTCCCTAGGCTTCCCATAGACTTTCTCTGGTTACTCGGCCTCAGGCTCCGCCTGGGGTTCGGAGCTTCCGGCGACCTCCTCCATAATGGTGTCAAGGTTAATCCTTCTCCCGGTCGTTCTCAGTCGAGTGGTCGCGTTCACCCTATCACGTCCGTCGCTTTCCAAAATAAAGTTGGCCTGCGGCCCGCGCCCCCGGAGTTGATCCCAGATGATCTCGCCCACCGGTTCGGCTTCTACGACCGTTATTTCTAACCTGTTGAGCATGATAATGGCTCGCCGCATCCCTCCTGGCGAGTTCCAGTTCACCCGTTCCCCTTGTGGTCCAAATATCTCCCCCTTTAATGACCTGGTACACCTTCTTTTCATAATATCATGGTTGAGCTTTGGGCATGCGCGCACATAATGTCCGTTTGCTACACCTGGCGGAACCACAGCTTCCTGGGGAGGGAGGACAGGTCGGGATACTTGCGCCTGCATAACCAGTAGCGCGCCTTCCATCCTTTCAATCTTATTGTCGACCCCGTGCACCCGTTCATGTAGACTTTCAATCCCCTTCTTTACCTTGTCGCCCGTCCTACCGGTCAGATCTATGATCTCTCCTTCCTTGAGCAAGGCCAACGTCTCTGTTACTACCGTTTTCTCAGCCAGATCCGTTACCGTGCTAAAACCAACATCCCGCGTGTTTACGAACTTGCTCGTCTGTTGGTAAGCTGACAGGATCTTGTCTTTGTCGAACTCGAAAAACTGCCTGAGGAAATATTTGCTCATTATCCGGTCCGTGACCCCGGGGATCCTTAGTGCTACTAGAGTAAATTCTCGTATGAAATCATTGTACATTGCGAAGTTCTTCCTCTGAACTGCCACTAGGTCGGCCTCCGTTGCCATTTTCTCTGCCACTAGGTACTTCCTCATCATCACATCCCGGGTCTCCTTCCAAGACCGCCTTGCGGCTACAATGGCCATTATGTCCCGTCCTAGGCTTAACGACACATGCTGTCCTAGATGGTCAATCTTTTCCTCCTCGGTTCACTTTAGTAACGCAACTAGGTTCTCGTAGTCGATCAGGAACTCCGTGATGTTTGCTCTATCGAAAGTCAACTTTATCTTGGCGTCTGTCAGATAACCTTGATTTTTGTTTAGTGCTCGTGCGAGGGACGACACTATCCTCTTAAGGCCGCCCTCGGAGGTGCTGGCCTCTCCTGCCACACTGTTATCCGGACTTTCCTTGTCGGCCTTCTGTCCCTTCCTGGTTTTCATAGTTCCTTCTGGGTCAAACTATCCCAACACTCTTTCCCTAAGGCTCCAAAGTCCTTCGCATCCTCGCGCTACTGCTGGCGTGATCGGCAGGCGGCTAGCCCTACTATCCATGGCTGGCGGAGTCGTAGCCTTTTTTGCTTCCATCCCCGGAGAGTTCTCTCTCTCTTTCCTTCTCTTGCTCGGCGTTCCCCCACGATCACTACCTTTATCTTGTTCAGTCCCACCTTGGCTGGCTTTCCGTTCGTCCCGGGGTTCCTCCTGCAGAGGACCTTCTTCGTTCCCAGTCACCATTTCCTCAATCAATCTTGCCTTGTATTCCGCGGTCCTCTTGTCTATCTCGGCTAGTTTGCGCCTCGTGTCCGTGACCCTTACTTTCTTAGGCATGGCTCCTTCCGAGTTTCGGGGGCTTGTCCTATCCTTATTTCTGCCTTCCTTGGTCCCCTGGGTCCCTTGCCTGCTTCCCCCGACTTTCCCCGAGCTTTCTCCTGTGGAGATTTCCTTCCGGTTCCCTTTGGTACCATCCGGATTTGTCGATTCTCTGTACTTCTGCCCCCCTTCGCTTTGTGCGGCACTGCCTCCTAAGCCTGGTTCTCCTTCACTCTTACGGTTATCTGTCTCCTCCTCCGTTGCCATTTTGCCTAGTTCTGCATAAGCCAAAGAATTCCCAGGACACACGCAATGCGAGGTATTTAGGTTCCCTAGGCTCCCAACTCTGTTGGCTTATCTTTATAGCCTCCTTTCCTTTCCCCGTTTTTTGATTGCCCTTCCTTAAGGAGGAGCCACGATTGGCCCTGCTGCTCAGCCGAGCTATGAACGTGACTGGGCTTCCTCTATCACAAGCTCGTATGTAGTGCCCTTGTCCCGTCGGCCGACGCGAGGGAGTCCGGGTTAGGCATCCTGCTAAGGGAAGTCTTCCCGAGCAGCGTTTCCCGTTTTTGACCTTCAGGGTTATGGTCAATCATTAGGAGTCTGGCCCCCCCTTCTTTGTTTTTCTAGTGGTTTTTAGCCATCCAGGTCCGAGGCCCCTTTCTTATTCCCATCGGCGAACTTCCGTACACAGCGAACTATACTCGGTCTGCCCTATTGACCCGCCTGCGGATGCTAATCCCGCTTTCACCCTCGCGGCTCTTTTGGTGCGGTAGGCTCCTCGAATAGTTGAGCCACCCCCGTTAGATAATTCTCCCCTATCTCGATTTCCCTTTGGATTATGCGTTCACACCCTGTCTAGTCTAGCCGGGGCGCACAAAACATCAGGATGTGGATGACTTCTAGTAATTCGTGGGCCCTATTTCCCCAGAACGGCCCATGCTCCACAGCGACATCGTAGAACATCCCAATGGTAGGGGAGGGAAAGTGACCTGCCCAGACTATCGCTGAGTCTGCCAGCTCCCGCGCCCTTGCGAGGCTTCCGAAGACAAGGTCTATCATAAAACGGGGCACTCGGCATCTCAGCGGTGTGGTCGGTGCCCTGAACTCCCTCCAACCTCTCATTTCCACCCGAGTTAGTAAGCCCACGTTCCTTCTTCCCCTGACCGATTGTCCTATCCGGGTCAACGTCCGGGCGGCCCTCCGAAAGACCGGTGTCAGCTCGTGACCTTGTGCTATCTCTACCCCCAACCAGTGTCAGCCGATCTCAGGCAAATACATAGTTTCGGTAACTTCCAGATTGGAAAACAGATCGTCTCCGGGTCCTCGGTTGAGTCTCATCCCTGTCCACCGACATTCTACCAACATGAAGGCAGCGTCCCTTCCCAAAGTCACGGCCCGCCATTCTACGTCGAACCCCCGATAGGTAGAACTCGGCGGGAGGGATACTTCCCATCGTCCACCGTTGTTCCAGGGCGGTCCGGAGTACCGGGGCTGGCGTTCTATTCGCACACGGGGCTGACGTTCCATTCGCACACGGGGCTGGCATTCCACTCGCACACGGGGCTGGCATTCCACTCGCTCATGTCTTGCTGCCAGGGTTACAACCAATCTTCAGAATCCGCCCACCTACTGTCTCCCTTGCCCTTCGTGTTTTCATTTCTCTTTTCTAGTCCCAACTATCCCTCTATACCCTCGGGAGCAGTAGCCTCCTCTTGCTGTTCGTACAACCGGTAGAGATCATCTATGTAGGTCTCGCCCCGACACACCTCTCGCCGGATGACTCTCCGCATGGTCTCATCGCTTATTTGTGGGACTCCTGGCCTAGTATTTACCGCAACTCGTAGAACGCAAAGCACCTCGCGCCCTTGTTCGTCCCTGAAAGGCCCCATCTCTAGAAAGGCCCGATAGTACTCTCGATACATTAATGCTTCGTCAAAATTTAGCCTAGTTACGGCAGTCACCGCCTGCTCCACTCGTTCTATGCCTCCCATTCGTCTTAGCAGGAAGGGTGGTAGACTCATCCGTACGACCTCATTTGGCAGCTCAAAAACCCCTGCCGCGGCGACTTTTACCTCAGCCGTCACGTCAGCTCGTTCCAGATCTGCAAACTCAAACCCCTCCCGCCAGGTTATTTGCCATGCCCCTTCGAACATTCGCACGGGGTCACCCCCGGAAGCCAAAGCAATCCCAAAGGTCCGCCATCCCTCTTCCGACAGGTGTAAGGATCCCGTCGCATGTACACGCACTGGGAGGTTCAAGTCTACGCCCCCGAACTCCCTTCTCGCACGCCATTCCAGCTCCACTACTAGGTACACCGTATCTTCCACCAACTCTACCCCCACCCAGTCCATTACCGGATTGCTTACCGCATTTCTTGCCGGCATGCTTATTTTAACCCTGCCCTCTGATTATCTTGGTGGCAGGATCCTACGAGGTCTATCCTCCCAGAACGTCATTCGCCGGGCCATCTCGCAATGTCTCCTTTCCGACTTTCTTAGTCCGATTGCTGCACCCACCGAGATTCCATGCCTTTCGTGTTTTAGTCTTTCAGCCCTCCCTACTTATCGTACACTGGTTCTTGCCGCTATCCACGACTCATACACATACAATTCTACCCCTGCCCCCTTTCTCCGGATGCTGCCACTCCCCCCTTGTTTCGATCCTTATGCACCATCTACGGCCTAATGTACACACTCCCTTTCTTATGTTACACCTCGATCCACAAGCACCCTCCACACTCAGGCTTTTTCGGGGTGATCGGTCCCTCGTCCTCGTTTAGTCGAACCACAGCACCTCAAATAGTTTAAAGACATCGTCTATGTAGGAGGGTGCAGCCACCGCCTCCCGGCTAACTATGGCGTCCCAAGACTCCTCCTCTACCTCTAGGCGGTCGTACCTGCCTATTCTTAGGATGATGACGACTTCCTCGGCTTTATCTCCGTAGAAGGGCCCATATTTCAATGAGAGCCTATAGAACTCCTCAGTCAGCCAGGCACACTCTATATGCACCTTTCTCATGGAGTCGGCTACTTCTAAAATGTGCTCAAACCGCCCAAACCACTCGGCTATGACTTCTAGTACCCAAGCCGTTATCCATAGACTCGGAGGCTTAAGTTCCTTCCATCCTCCCATCACAACTCTGCTACTAACTTCGTGCCATCCCTCATTGGCGAACAGCTTGCCTTCCTTTCGGGTCCGGGCCTCTGCATCCCCTAGAAGCCACATTGGGTCCTGTCTCATTGCTAACATGGTGCAAAACAGGTGCCATCCATCCTCGGAAAGGACAATCGTTCCAACTGACTCTACCTTGCCTTCTGATATATCATCCCAACCTTCCTCCTCCCTTATCGGGTTCCAAATCAGCTCTATCCATACATATGACAAGTCTCGGGCATCCTCAAACCCAATCCAATCGCACGTGGTTCCTCTCCATCCGTTCCCTGTTGGTATAAGCATTTCTATTCCTCCTCTGAGTCGCCGTGGTTCCCAGCCTTTGAAGGGGTATTCCATCATCCTTTCTTCTCTAGTCATTGTTCCCTTTCCTGCACAATACCAGGCCACCCGTCCTTCCTAAGTTAAGTTTCCCCACCCCTCTTAGAAGTCTCAGTCCTCTATCTCTTCATCTTCGTCTTCATCGCTGAAGTCGTCCTCGTCGTCGTATACCAACTCCCTTACCCCATCTAGAAACGTCTCTCCTATTGCCACATTCCTGTAGACTATCCCCCAATGCACAGCGCTAGGGACAAAGATATTGTCTATGCTAAGGCAGTTTAGTATCTCGGTCAGCTCCTCCGCCCAGTTCCCCTCGAACGGCCCCATCTCTACTGATAACCGAAAAAAATCTTGCCTAGCGCATTGGTATAGGCCAAGGTTCGTCATGGACTGGCATATCCGTACTAGCCTGCTCCGAGTTCCGAAAACCGCATCCACTAGGAAGGGGTGCAGCACACATCGCGTGGTCCTTACGGGTCGCCTCATGCTTCCTCTATCCCCAAGTTCCACCCGTACGTCTACCTTTTCCATTTCCATTTCCCTCCGTTGACATACAGCCCACACAACCTCTGCTTCTGCCTTCCTAAACAACTAGTCCGGTGTATTCCCGAGTGCCAACTTTATGATCATAGCTTTCTCCCCATCTTGCGACAAGTAAACCCACCCCCGGGCTTCGACTGTCCCTCGGAATTCCAAATCCATTAAACTTGGCGACAACCTCGTCAGGCTGACATTAGTCCATATTGTTTCTATCCAAAGGAAAGCATCCTCTCCTTCCAGCATTACGGTTTGATATGCCGGTTCAAGGTCCGTCCACGTTCCATTTTCCGAGAGGACGACCGATACCCCATCCTTTATATCTAATGGCATTTCCGGGCCGCTAGTATAAAACGGGGAAGGCAACCATCGCGCCATCTTGTTTTCAGCACCCGACCCCTATTTTCATAAAAAGGCAACAACCGATCCTTTTGGTCAGGTCAACCCTTGTCCTAGATGAGAATTATTTTAGAACCCTCATCAAGGTCTCCCTATTTTACCTCCCCTTTCCTAAGTACCCCCTTCCTATAATTCCCTCGGCCGGTCATCCATTTGCCCACATTCTTTCTCTTGGTTCCATTCCAATTGACCTCTATCCTCCTTCCTTCCGATCGTCTCTCACTCGTGTGGACTTAGAAGGGAGGGGGAATAGACTTAGAAGAGTACCCGTCCGACAATCCAAGCTCAATCAATCTTTACGGGGGAGGGGAACACATATAAAAAAAATTAGGCAACCTCACATACGGGCCGGTCATCTCCTCACCGGCCATCCCCAATATGGTCTCTCCGCTGGTACTATCGGTAGAGTTTTATGCCATACCTCAAGCGCAGCTCAACCGTCGCGAGCGCGGTACCTAGGTCCCGGCAAGGCATTCGCCCTTTCCTCCTTACCCAGAATACCCCATCCCGTCTTGCCGCTTTGCACATCCATACCGACACCGAGGGTTACCTCGAGTGCCTAAATACAGGGACAAAGTCAGCCGTCCGGGCATTCACTTCCGTCGGTCCTACAAGAATCAGCCTTTTCCAAAACCATGCTACGAGAAGCTACTAATCGCCTCCGAGGCTCCGTCTTTGTCCGCATACAGTGGTACTCCCTCCGCCAGCCAACAGGCTAAGCCTCGCCTGAGGAGATTTCACACCCCGTCCGGCGGATCATCGAGTCGCAGCCCGTCACCGCTCGAACGAGAATGCTACTAATCAACCGACGTGACAAACTCCCGTCCGACAGCTCGGTGGCCTGACCTCCACATACGAACACACGACAGCCTACAAAAGAGAACGACGTTTCGCAACCCGCACTGACCGGTGCAGACCAATCATTTCCTTCCGAAAGGCAGGACGCTCGAATCCCATAATGAAAACACAAGTCCCAAGTGGGACACACATAGTACAAGTGCCATTCCCTTGGTGCACCCATCGCTTCCTACCCGTAACTCACAGATTTTCTCTCAGGACAACGAGTGTCACTCCCCCTACTTTCATACATAGTGGTTGGTTCCTTCTCGTGAGAATCTTCAAGGGTGAGCTAGTTTTCCTTGGAGTCTAGCAACTCCCTTCATTTCCCTTCTCTTCACTTGTCTGTCCTTTCATAAGGTAGGATTGTTCTTTCTTGATGACCCGTTGTGCTCATATTGGTTCCTTCAATCATTAAAAAGGTGCAAAGTGCATGAGCCCGCTGGGCTCAAAGAAGAAGGGGAAAGCACCCATTCGGTCGGATCACTCCGCCATGGGATTTTCATTGGAACCTGGTCTAAGCCAAGCACCAACCGCCTGCCAGGTAACCGGAGCCCTTCTTTCATACGAAGAGGAAGGGTCGACCTGCGACTTGCCAAGGCTTCCCCGGACTGGCGAACACCAACACCAGACGAAGGAGGGCTAGAGCCATTCCTCAAAGGAACGACTGATCAAGTGCATAGCATGCATGTTATACCTCCAGGCCTGGCCATGCCATGCGCTCAGCCACCCTCAAATCTGATTTCTCACAAGGGAAAAAGCAAACACAAGTCCATTTTCCTTATCTTGGGTTGTGTACACGTCAATGCGTCGGGCGCCCCCGTCGGAATCGCAAGGGTCAATTTAACCCCATGCCCGTCACCTCCACCATTTTTGTAGGGCCAAACCCCGGTAAACTTTCGAGCCTTAGTCGACCTCACTGCTGGTCCCAGTTGGCTCGGCCCGCCCACACTCATGCTCAGGGCGCGGGCCATTCGTCCCAAGGTCACCCCCACCTAGTGCTTTGAGATTGATGGGGGTGGGCCATCGCCCGAGAGAGCTTTGATATTAAAGATGTAGCTCAGCCCTCACGCCGGGTGGTAGTCTCGCTGGTCGTTTCGCAACGCTGAATTTTTTTTTGGTTCTTTGTTGTGTTCTCGCCCAATTGATCCTTCCAATATGCAGGCGGTCCAGGGGTTCTTTGAGCGTTTCTCTTCTCTTGTGCGTAGGCTAAGCGTCATCCTTAGGCCACGCACCATTTCCCTAAGCATTGTGGCTATATGGCGTCATCGGGGTGCGGCGGAGCCGTCCTCCCCCTCACCTCTACACATCCATTGGGTCTCATAATTTGCTTTCCTCATTGAAGTAGGCCCCTTAGTCCTTTCGGGGTCCTCATATGCATGCACATATAACATCACAATTTCCTTGGAATGGTTGCACTCTCATTTCCACTCCAAGTCCTCAAGCGCAAAAGTCATTCCCATGGGTTGGCTCTATGTCAAGGGTCCCATAGCCCCTTTTGTCCCTCTTCCCTTTCACTCTTGGTGCCCAGTTCCTCTCGCCCCTATCCCGCTCAAGGCATTTCTAGCCACCACTCACCTGCACAATCCCACACAAGCAAGAGAATCCATACAATCCCCCGTTGGGGGTCAACACATAGCCCTTCTGAAATGCCTATCTTTTTCAATCCTTTGGCTGCTCTTTGTTCCCTTTTGATGCTGAGGAGAGAGAAAGGAAGGAAGAGAGAGAGAGAGAGAGAGAGAGAGAGAGAGAGAGAGAGAGAGAGAGAGAGAGAGAGAGAGAGAGAGAGAGAGAGAGAGAGAAGAGAGGAATAACTCCTAATCAATTCAGCTCCCCGTAACGGCAACCAAACGTCGACCACCCGCCCCAAAGTGAGAAATTGAATAAATATATCTTGGAATATTATGCACGAACATGACAATGAGAAGCTATATCAATGGAAAACACATGCTCATAGAAAAGAAGATTATCTAAACATGATCCGGATCATTATATTAAACATGAACTTGACAACGAAAGGCTAGACTAGTCGAAGGCATATGCACAAAGAGAAGAGACTAACTAAGTACAGTCCGAAATATTTTATCACACTCGAAATTGACAATGAGAGACTAGACTAGCGGAAAGCACATGCACAAAGAGAAGAGACTTAGTAAAGATCCGGAACATGAACTTTGACAAAGAGAGGCTAGACTAGTGGAAGCACATGCACAAGGAAAAGTGATCAACAAGGTGAGGATCCGGAACACCACATCAAACATGAACTTGACAATGAGAGACTAGACTAGTGGAAAGTACATGCACAAGGAGAAGAAACTAGCTAAACAAAGATCCGAAACATTTACTTGACAATGGGAGACTAGACTAGTGGAAGCACATGCACAAAGGAGAAAAGTTCAACAAAGGTAAAGATTCGGAACATGACCTTGACAATGAAGGATTAGACTAGTGGAAAGCACATGCATAAAGGAGAAGAGTTCAACAAGGTAAATGATCCGGAACATGACCTTGCCAATGAAGACTAGACTAGTGGAAAGCACATGCACAATGAGTAGAGATCAACAAGGTAAAGATCCGGAACATGAACTTGACAAGGAAGGATTAAACTAGTGGAAGCACACGCACAAAGGAGAAGAGTTCAACTAAGCAAAAGATCCGGAACATGAAGTTGACAATGAAGGGTTAGACTAGTGGAAGCACATGCATAAAGGAGAAGATATCAACTAAGCAAAGATCCGGACACATGAACTTGACAACTAGAGACTAGACTAGTGGAAGCACATGCACAAAGGAGAAGAGTTCAACAAAGTAAAAGATCCGGAACATGAACTTGACAATGAAGGATTAGACTAGTGGAAAGCACACGCACAAAGGAGAAGAGTTCAACTAAGTAAAAAGATCCGGAACATGAACTTGACAAGGAGGGGTTAGACTAGTGGAAGCACATGCATAAAGGAGAAGATATCAACTAAGCAAAGATCCGGAACATGAACTTGACAATTAGAGACTAGACTAGTGGAAGCACATGCACAAAGGAGAAGAGTTCAACAAGGTAAAAGATCCGGAACATGAACTTGACAATTAGAGACTAGACTAGTGGAAGCACATGCACAAAGGAGAAGAGTTCAACAAAGTAAAAGATTCGGAACATGAACTTGACAAGGAAGGATTAGGCTAGTGGAAGCACACGCACAAAGGAGAAGAGTTCAACTAAGCAAAAAAATCCGGAACATGACCTTGACAAGGAAGGGTTAGACAAGTGGAAGCACATGCATAA